ACAATAGTTTTGTTAAGATTGCTTTTCTTATTCTATGGTGTGCAGCCCCTTACATAGAGACAAAAGCCTTGTCGAACTTCAATGTCCGAGAAATTTCTCCACGACCCAATACCATCAGCATTGAGGTCTGAGATGCACGAGAATGCAAAGATCTTGCAGAGATAACGTAAAATCATTTTTTTATGCTATATTTGAACATCAATCCTAATTCGCAGTAAGATCTAGTTACTTTTAGCTATTTTTCCATCTCGTTTTTCAAAATACAAAACTAAGCTGACAAGTCTACTTCCATGCCTAAGTAGTCCAACGTCGCTCTCCAATATGTTTCTCGAAGCTTTGAAAACGGTATTTGTTTATCAATGGTGACTGTCATATGTATTACTGTTTTCGGAAAAAAATTTGATAGAACCAGTGAGATTTTTAGTGCACATCAAACAAGTAAAAGCGGGTTTATTGTTCGAATGTGAAACTTACTACAGATCTGGAACGAGGACAAAATGATCAACGTGGACGTACTGCGAATATTCGTGCATGCCCATTTCTACACTTACAGCACCGTCAGTTTCTATCTGTTACTGGAAGTGTAAGGTGCCTTCGACAAGCTTCAGTATCTTTTTACAGATCCATGACATCTCACTGCGCACATCATCGGCTACAAATCTACGCTCTCTCATAGAACATCTAGCCAAGTGTCCTTACGATGATAAACTTAAAACAGATCTCCTCAATGTTGATCTCATCCAAACTCTTTCGCAAGGCCTTCGATCTGAAGTTGACGTGAGTCAAGCACCTTATTAGGCAAATCTGCTTTCGAATCAGTCAGTTGCAGGTCGTGCGAGAGGAGTCCGTTCGATGTATTACCTCATTAGTGGATCATTTTCCGAATCACACCCATTTGAGTCAATTGCTACAGCTGAGAAACTCAGATGAAGACCTGGATTTCTTCAGCAATATTATTCATATTCAAGTAAGTTTGCAGTATGACAGTATCGTGCTATACAGACCGTCAATTTTGGCTTGCTTCTCCCAATGGCGCTGGCATGAGATTCATGTCAGCGGAACTGTGTTTTCCACTTCTAAACCAAATCTTGGAAGTTTCAGCCCACATTGAATCTTATTCCACTCTCTCTCGCATGTTGGAGAATTGCACAGCGTGATTCTTGCATGGCTTTCTCTTTACAAGCTCACGAAATTCAATCTCATCTATTTTTTTTTGCCTGTAGTTTTGGCACCAATCTATACATATGTCTACAAACAATGGCGGAAAGAGGAAATGATATTTTTATTGTACTTTGTTGTTCCTCTTCCCTGATTCCATTTTTCCTACTTTTTCAGTGCTCCAAAATCAAGCTCAAACCACTAAATAATTATCCAGAAAACTAGACGAAGCACGTGGAAGTCTTAGAAATACTTGATTTTTTTCGTCTGCTTTTGGAAGGCAATATACGGATGCTGCTCATAAC